AAAAAAAAAAAAAAAAAAAAAAAAAGAAAGAAAGAAATACATACTTTCGAGACAAAACGTTCGCAGCAACTTTTCCAGTAAAGTTTCGAGATAGATTCGACATGCAGTTCGACGCGAGCCACCGAGCAGAATTCGTGAAAAGAAGTCGGAGGAAATCGTCAAATGACTATTCGACACGCGAAACTCTCGAACTTATCCGCGTGATTCCCATCACGTAACTGATTGTTCGCCAGGAAAATGCGAGAAAAATGCGACTAACGAGGCGATTCGTATTCGTACCGTATCGAAAGATTCGGTTTAAATGGTATCTGTCGATTGGCCAATTTATCTACTTGAACCTGCTTACGTTCAAGGAAATTTGGAAAGTCCCGTCACAAGAAGCATTTATAAGCTCGCGCCTTTTCCGTTCACGCGTGCATTTCGATTGTTCGAGTGACAGCAACCGAGAAGGATATTTGCTTTTCTCGAATTATTGGCGGGAAATTTGTGTAACGCCGATTGTTCGAACACTTTCACTTCTTCCACTTTTCAACACGCTCGACGCGAGCAGGATAATATAGATAAACCAGATCGGAAAGAGTCGGGTCTTTTACTTGGATCGATCGAGACTGGTCGAGCAGGTGGAAACTTGGAGAAAGATCGGCCGTGACTGTCCACCGACCACTCGAAATTTTGACGTGGATCCGTGGTTAGATATTTCCCCTCGTGCTCCATTTTCACGTTGTTACGACCTCGTGCGTGTAGGGAATTGGCTAGCAGCGGTGTTCCATCGGTTTCGAAATGGACGATCGGCCGACGAATTTCGGATCTGTCGCAATGGGCATGGCCGTTGGTGTTCGTCACGAGCTATTGGCAAAGTCTATTTGAAAAGTAATTATCTATAATAGTCTTGTAGTTTGTTTTGAGTTCGAAGACGATAAATACTTGCCCGGATCCGAACGTTGCGCGGCTATTTTTCGAAAACCGGAGAGGCGAGGCCGTCTAGTTTTTCACCGAGGTCGAGAATGATTGGTAATTAACTCTGGATCGAGTCTGCGCGTTTATTTATTAGATTCTATTTATAATCCTATTCCTATTTATAATACGATTATGATTAGAAAGAATTTTGAAATTGAATTGTGAAATTAAATGAAATCGGTGCTCGTCGATCAAAATATATCTACATCCTTGGTAATTACCTCGCTTATAAAACGTTGAATATACCATTTCTGTTGTTGAATCGCGTAGGTGAATTGTGAACGATCTTTAAACGGATAATTTTATTTCACCGGAATAACTTTTACTTTAATGACAGCAGGAAAATGATATACATATATATATAAACGATCGAAATTTCTAAATATTCCACGAACGTTTTCTTCTCCTTGTCGCGATTAAACTGGTAACTGTACCGTTCGAGACTTTCTATAAAAGTTCCACGAGTTATCGCCGATTATGCGAACGTGTGAAAGGACTAGAACCGGTGAACCGATTCTTGCATTCTTGCTCGACGACGATACCCATTTCTCGCAAAATTCTTTCCTTTCTTTCGCCTTTCTTCTGTAGGTAGCTTCAGGGATGAACGAAAAAGTGTCCAAACAAAATTGACAACGCTTGAGAGACACTTTGACCACGCGCAAACGTCGAATCGCGATTTTTCGACGGATCACGAAACCTCGTTCGAACGATCGAATCTGGAGCAGAACCGTGCTGCTCGAGGATCAAAGCTGATACTTGTAATACTGCAATGGTGGGTGGAACGTCAGGACCACGTGGTGGACCTCGAGCCGTGTTTCACTTTCACTGCTTGCCCGTCTCGCCGCGACGGCCACGTGCTTCCTCCAACTCTAAACTTGCTCGTTTCGATTTTATTTCTGCTCGCGATTCATTCTTCTCTCGATCGTGAAAATTAATAAATTGTCCGGTTAATGAATTTCCATGTCACCTTCAATGTATATATATAATCCAATAGGATTTTGTTACCATAATTTTAAAATTTTATTGCGTCAATAATCGAGTCTACGTTATGGAAGAAGTGAGTAGGAAAGGCGAGATAAGAGTAACTATGGTTACCGTACGATAAATTCGTTACATTCGCGGTCTAATTGTCGCGCTATATTCTCGTTTCACAATAAAGAATTACAAAATGCGACGAGCTTTCAAAATTTTCTCCTTTGTCTATCGAGGGTTATCGATAGAATCGGAAAAACAAAAGAGTAAAATGTTACGACACGCATTTGACTCATTCGAATTTTATATATGGCTTGGTCGGTTTTGTTTGAAATCTTCTCGTACGTATCTATATGTGTATTTGTTACGTAACGCGCGGTTATCCACCTGTTGCGGATCAGTGATTCTCATTGTGGAATTAGAAGAAAATTGATTTTGAGAGAGAGAAAGAGATATTAGTTCTATGCTTTCTCGTAATAAATACGAGTAATAAATACTGTTGAAACAAAGGAATTCCCAGTGTAGTTTCTCCCGGTATCATCGCCGATATAATTTCGAAATCGAAGATGGAAGAAAATTTTGAAAAAAGGAAAAAAAAAAACATCATCGATTTATTTTTCGATTGTAATTAAATTGTTAAACGGAACGGATCTAATCGTTGAATTAAACGGAATTAAACGTATTTCTCTTTTTTCATTCAGAATTTTTAGAAACTAAAACCTAGCATATTTTAACTCGCATCTTTCTAGTGTATCGGATTCTTCGAGAGAACGAGGTCATCAAAATTCCCGTGTATCTGTGACTTTCATCGATTCGGGTGAACGAACCATTTCTTCCCCTCCCCTCCCCTCCCCGAAGACGACGAATCGTTTGTTTTTTCATTGCCTCTACTCACTCTTCTATTTGCCTCGAACAAATATACGTATTGCGTAATCCCTCGCGTTCGTCCACGTACCCTTATGCAATTCTCTGTTACCCCGTTGCGTGGTATCTGGAAACCTGTAGTAGAGGAAACAACCGATATAATTTTCCAATCGCCAATTTGTTGGAAGAAGTTAAGTTTAAATAACGAATCGCATTTTATATAGAAGCTTCGATCACGAACCGAATATTTCGCGCAGCCAAACGTGCGGCAGCACGTGAAAAGAAAAATATACGCGCGTGTTGTAAATTATTCCTTCGTTCACGTGTCAATATCAATTTTTTTTTTTGTTTTTCTTTTTTTTTTTTCAGTAAAATTATCTCGAGCAAACATCGAGTCGATCCTTGATTCATACAGTATATTAAACGTTGCGAAACAGTTTGTGTGATTTGCTTGGAGAAGAAAGACAACGAATTAATTTCTCTCTTTCTTTCTCTCTCTTTTTCTCTCTCGTGTTTCGATAATAGTATTGTATAATAAAAATGGTTAGTTTTATTCTTATGCAACGTTCGCGCAATCGTTCACGAAATAGTGAACGACGTTGGGTCCTTTGACCTACTAGTTTAGAAATTTGGTTACTATCTTCTATAATGAAGAGAAAAAGAAAAAGAGAGAGAGAAATTGGAAAGTCATTTTTTATTCGTATAGCGGCGTTGCATATGTTGGTTAACGCGTTTGTTTGTTTGTAAGAGACAAAAGAATTTTAAGTAGGATAAACGGTATTGAAAGATATCGGTAATGTTTGTATAATTAAAGATTGGAAAGATGAACATAAAACAAGTGATTATCTTGAAATTTAAATTTCACTGAATCAAGTACAATTCCACCGGTCAATTATAAAAATAAAGCATTTACATTTAAGAAAAATTAACAATTTTCCGCAATTAAAAATATAAAAAGAACTCGTCTTTTTGTATTATTGGATGTAAAAAAGAGTTTCAATAGTCGGTTTCTATACCTTTGAAACGATATTGAAAGATATCGGTGAAATGTTTGTATAATTAAAGATTGGAAAGATGAATATAAAACAAGTGATTATCTTGAATAAATTTCACTGAATCAAGTATAATTCCACCGGTCAATTGTAAAAATAAAGCATTTACATTTAAAAATTAACAACTTTCCGCAATTAAAAATATAAAAAGAACTCGTCTTTTTGTATTGTTGGATGTAAAAAAGAGTTTCAATAGTCGGTTTCTATACTTTTGAACAAGTAAGAATTCGTTGGCCAATATTGAAGATACAAAAGATACAAAACTTACAGAACATATAAAAAAAGAAATCTAGTCATATATTTTATTCAAAAAGTCTAACCACCCTTTTTGCATCCAACAAAATTAATTATTAATGCCTTCCTCTACAAAATCGAATATACATATAGATAAATAGATACACAATATCATTTATGTTTAAAACAAAACAAAAAAAAAATGACAAAAATCCGAGAAATCGTAAAAAAAAAAAAAAAAAAAATGACAAAAATCCGAGAAATCGTAAAAAAAAAAAAAAAAAAAATGACAAAAATCCGAGAAATCGTAAAAAAAAAAAAAAAAACAGGTAGAAAAAGTCGCCACTCTTACCTGAGACGACACTGAAATTCTCGAATTCAATTCGTTCATGCGAGAAGTATTTCCGTCAGCTTCACATCTGGAAGACCAGTCCCGGCGGTGTAAAGAAGAAACGACACGTCGCTTGAGAACAAATGCATCTTGTTGGACGGTAGAGCGGACACTAACGAGATGAGTGTCTCCTCCTTTCGATACTTCGAATCGTTCGAAGGTCGTTCCTTTTTTACGAAATACCTCCCGTTCCGTCGTTACAGAATTTATGAAATTCTAGAAACGAAAATTCTCCGAAATCGAAATTACTCATCAAAAGAAAAATTTCCCATCATGAGTCACGATCGTGCACGATCCGTTGAACGTAGAACTTTTCGTGTAGAAAATTGGGCAACGTCGATGATCACACGAATCGTTGAATAATCTCGATTTTACATATTTTAATATCGAGGAAATAGAGAAAGAGATATCATATATACGTTACGAAAGTTGGAAAAGAAATTTTTAAACACGTGTTCGTTTAATTAGTTTCTACGAAATTGATAACAGTTAATAGCTGACATAGCTAGGTTGATGAAAATTTATTACAGATTTTGTACGCTAAGTTTTTATCGTTTCAACATTGACAATACTTCATTAACGTTTTTAAAAAACGTTTTACGTTCAATTTGCCAATCGTAGTTGTGTCGTAGTTCTGTCAAG